TATAAATAAGATACTATTAAAGTTAGAGGCTATTATTATTAAGGAAGAAGATAATTAGGATATAAAGAGTAACTAGTAAGTAAAGTAGTTATTATAGCTAGGTAAATAAAAGGTAAAAAAAGCTACTAGTATAGGTGTTAAATAGTAAGGATTATAATTAATTAATAAATTAATTATATATATACTTAGTATATATAAGTATAGTAAAATAGTTAAATAGTAAGGATTATAATAGCTTACTAGTTAATTATATAATACGTTATACTAGGTATATAGTATAACTATAGTAAAATATCCCTTAGTAATAAGGGAAGAAATTTATTTACCTATTTCTAGGTTAAGAAATCCTAGCCTAGTCCTAGCTATTAGATTAGTAAATTTACTTATAAAGCAAGGTATCTTTACTGCCTATTCCCCTCTATAATAAGTTACTACTATAAAGTAGCTAGGTATTAGCCTAGTTAATTTATATATATAAAGTAATTCTACCTTATTTTATAAATAAGTATAGTAATAGTAACTAAAGTAAAAAAAAAAAAAGATAAAAGGCTGTTATTAGTTAACAGGCTACTAAGCTAAGATAAAGGACCTTAATAATACTCTAACGTATAATAGGTAGTATATCCTATATATTATAAAGATATATAAGTTACTTTTTATAAAGAGGTATAAAGGTATATAAGCTAAGTAGGTAGGTAGTAAAGTAAAAGCATAAAAAGTAGTAGTAAGGCTTAAACTAATAAAGCTATATTAACGTAGTACCTAACCTACTTCTCTATAGGGGCCTGCCTATTAGGTAGGTGTAGGTTATTAGCGTTATTATAGCTATAGACTACTTCTTTAGCTACTAGGTCTATATAGTAAATAATAGTAGTAGTGCCTGTATTAAAGGCACTATTATATAGGTAAAGCTAGTAGTAGGTAACAGCCCTAGTAGGCTAGGCACTAGTAGCAGGGCGTAAGGGAATAAGGCGTACTTAGTATTAGCTTTAAAGGGTAATAATATAGAGGTTAGCTATATTATAAATATAAAAAGTAGTGTTAGCTAGTTCTATAATAAGGTGTAGATTTAGATTAAAAGGGTTAAAATCCTAAGGTTAATAAAAAAAGAGGTTATACTATAAAAAAAGCACTAAAGGTTTATAAATAAAGTGCTATTAACGCTATAGCTACCTTAGTATAAAGTAGGTTAGGTATTATCTACTTATAAGAAGTAAGAAAAAAAGTAATAGCTAGAGGACTAGATATAAAAATAGAAGTATAAAGTTTATTTTATTATTATAATTAGATATAGTAACTATAGGTAAGAAGAGGGGATAAAGTAAAGTAGACCTCTAGATAATAACTTAGTTAGTATACCTACCTAATAAGAAAAGTAAAAGTAGCTAGTATAGGCTAGGCCTTTATAGCTATAAGGGATAAAGGAGATAAGCTAATAATAGAGGCTAGGTATATTAACAGCCTAGACTAATATATAGTAGCGCTAGTAGTAGTTAAAGTAGGGTAGCTATAATAAAAAGTAGTAAGGGGAGGGTATTCTTTATAGCTATAGGGGTAGGTAGTAATAATAGCTATAAAGGCTAAAAAGGTAGCAGGCGTAAGGTAGTAATAGTAGTAAAGTAAGTAAGGTAGGCGCTAAGGCGTAATAGCGTTCCTTTATAGCTATAATAGGTATAGTAGTAGTAGTAAGTAAAGTAGGTACTAAGGCGTAATAGTATTCCTTTATAGTTATAATAAGAGTAATATCTTTTTATAGCTATAGTAGCTATTATATCTTTTTATAACTATAGTAAGCTTTAAGGCGTAAAGGTATACCTTTATAACTATAATAGCTATTATAGTGTAATAATATTCTTTTATAGCTATAGTAGCTATAAGAGGTATAGGGGGGCGTAAAGGGTATAAGGGGGCCTAAAGAGGTGCCTTTATAGCTATAATAAGTATTAAGGCCTAGTAGCTATTTTTTATAGCTATAATAAGCTTTAAGGCGTAATAATATACCTTTATAACTATAATAACTATTATAGCGTAATAGTGTTCCCTTATAGCTATAGCAGCTATAAGGGGTATAAGGGGTGTAAGGGGTATAAGGGGGGGCCTAAGGAGGTACTTTTATAGCTATAATAGGCGTTAAGGCCTAGTAGCTATTCTTTATAGCTATAATAAGTATAATTACTATTACTATTTCTTTATAGCTATAGTAGCTATAAGAGGTATAGTTACTATTACTATTTCTTTATAGCTATAGTAGCTATAAAGAGTATAAAAGGCCTATATAGGTGCCTTTATAGCTATAATAAGCACTAAGGCCTAGTAGTTATTTTTTATAGCTATAGTAGGCGCTAAGGCGTAATAGTATGCCTTTATAACTATAATAGCTGTTATAGCGTAATAGTATTTCTTTATAGCTATAGTAGCTATAGGGGGTATAAGGGGCCTATATAGGTGCCTTTATAGCTGTAATAAGCACTAAGGCCTAGTAGCTATTCTTTATAGCTATAATAGGCGTAGTTACTATTACTATTCCTTTATAGCTATAGCAGCTATAGGGGTTATAGGGGGGCATAAGGGCTTATAGGGGTGCCTTTATAGCTATAATAGGCGCTAAGGCTAGGCAGATATTCTTTATAGCAACAGGAGCTGCTAGTATAGTAAATAATAGCCGTAAAGCGGCTAGTTAACTGGTTGGCTGGGATAGGTTAGCGGGCGGCGCCACGCGCAGGACTAGGGTTAGGGGGGGGGGGGGGGGGGGGGGTTTAGGGTCAGTGCGTAGGTGGCCCACGCGCGCGCGTGGGCCGGTCAGGCGACCGGTCGCCGGTCAGCTAACCGACTGTATATAATAGGCACTGGACCCGGGAAGAACTGCCCGAGTCCCTTATGCAGCCGCTGATTAGGAGTCTCGGACGAACTACTAGCGTCTTTGACCTGATGTCGTCATGGAACAAGACAATTCTTCAAGAATTCTAGAAGGACGGTGACCCTCTGTACTGGTCGTAAATAGAGAGCCCTCTGTAAAGAGGTAATTTTAAGTGGCTTAAAATATTAAACTCTTAACTACTTGACTTAGACCTGGGTTTTAAACCTGCCTACTCTAAGGGATCGCTCCAGCCTTAACACTAGAAAGGAACGCCTTAGCGGGACGGGGTGGCAAAAGTAAGGGTACCACTCTAGGAAAAGTAAAGTAAAGTTTAACTATAAGAACGCCTATATTAGTAGTCCGTCCTTGCTAAGGGAAACCATTTAGTAAGGCAAAGTAGATTCCAGCCATAAGTTGTGGTTTGGGACAACAGTACAACGGCTCGCCTATTCAGACCCGCGTCCTGGAGCGTGATTACAGGAACAGCAGCTCTTCCTCCTTTAAGGAACCTTTATAAAGAATCCACTTAACAAAACTGCTTCTAGGCGGTGGAAAAGGCAGGGGAGATTTTTAGAAGTTCAAAACTCTAACCCCTAATCCTAACCACCTAACCCTAACCCTATCTACCCTGGTTATATGACTGAGACTTTTGGAAGAAAGTTTCCCCGGTCGGAATAATATTCCTCTGGGAGGATCGGATTTTCGGCTCGGCTCGGATGAATCGGTTGGACTCCCCGGAGTTCCGACGAGAAATCCGATGACCGAACCAATCGGGAGAAGCCGCGGGCTGACTTCGCGCCGTATGAGTTAGAGTCGGGGAGCCGTTTCTCTGCCCTGAAACTCTACTTAAGACGCGAAATCCCCGCGCCCACACTAACTAATGCCTTGATGAGCCACACACGGCGAAACTGGACTTGCACCTCCGAGGAGGTCTTCCAGTAGGCACAACGTGTATGCTTAACAGTCTTCTGCAATTTGACTTTGCCCCTTACGAGATCCCTAACCCTAACCCTAACCCTAACCCTAACTAACTAATATATACGCTTTTAAGTAAATTAATAGCAAGAGCTAGCTAATAACAAAGTAAAGCTTTACTACTAGATAGAGGAGGAAAACGTATAAGATATTAAAGGATAATTAATAAACAAAGAGGGCTATAACTAGAGGATATTTAGCGTAGGCGCTGCGGTAATTAATTACGTTACTAGCGCTAAGGGGGTGTGTTAAATATAGCAGAGTTACACGTAAATTAACCGGCAAATACACAGTTGCCCTACAGCAAACTGTTAGGGAATAGGCGGTGAGTTGGCCCCACTTTAAGGGGTTAATCCACTAATTAAATGACTAGGATTAGTCCGGGATTTCCCTACCTAGAAATAGGGGAATTTCGGTAGTTCTATAGGTTCTCAACTAGATAATTATAACACATAACAGAATTAATAAAACAACTATTATAATCCCTACTATTTAACAATACTATACATAATAGATGCTAGGTAGTAATTAATGTAAATAGAGGGTATACAAAATGGTGAATTCTGGCTAGATAGAAGTAAGTAGAAAATGTAGTGGTTTCTATAAATTATAGTGTGTGTAGGGTGTAACATAACAGTAGGTGTAAAACTTACCCCTACCACCCTATACATCCACCCTTAGCTAGACTTAGCGTAACACACCACGTTAAACACCCGCGCCTGATGTCTCTAAACTATCAGATAGGTCGCCCTAATCGTAGCCAGGTAATACGGATAGATAATAAAAAAATGCCGCAATTTCGGATGGTTCGGATGTAGGGGTGCTCAGATGTGGGGAAGGGACTTGGTTAGTGTGTCAACTAGTAAACTTAGTTAAAAGCTTCCTCTTATGTGCTACTAATATTTCTAAACTCTGCCTGTTTTAGATAAGTTTATAATGGTCTTATAGTATAGGACATATGTATAATAGGTTATGTGTAATGCGCTAAATACTTATAAGACTTATGAGTCATGAAGAAGATATATAGCCTTAATCCTATCCCTATAGCGCTACTACAATAATATATAATTAGTAGTTTAATTATTATAGTATTATGTATAAATTGAGCTGCCTCCCCTTTGATTTTACTCTTTATCTTTCGAAATCAAAGCACACTCTAACATACTCAACTTTTACTGCAATCCACGTTTTCACTTACGATATATTATTTTATCTTTTATCAAGTGAACTTTCAAACATGAAGCTTTCTTCTTTGTACCTCATTACACTCGTCGTCGCCGTAGCAGCACAAAGCTGTGACGATGACTGTAATTACGGCTGCCAGGCAATGCAGATGGTAAATCCGCTTTACGGGTCTCCCACTTATACAAGTATAAGAACAAATAACTAACGTATTCAATTTTCAAAGCAAGTAACCTCGTCTCAATGTGTTGGGGAGGAACGAGTGTCATGCTGTTGCGGCCAAGTTGCATCCGGCCAATAATTATATATACAATAAGAGCAGAGAATATATATTATGGTATAACAATCTAGCCTAGCCGGGGTTGCCCTACTTGCTCTGAATCGCTAAGGCACGCAAGATATATGTCAAAGTAGTTAATATAGTAAACGTATAACAATGTCTACAGAATCTTTATAAGAGCTCTTATACTTATGTCGTAGAGGCACCTTTTAGGTGGGAAGGATTATAGGAAAACGGCTTAGCTATCTATAGTATAGTAATTATTAGCCTAGCTTAAAGAGATATAGATTCTTTAAGTAGGTTACTTATATAGGGATAAAGTTTAGCCTAAAAGAACTATTTCTTTATTCTAGAGAAATCCTAGCTATACTTCAGCTAGCCCTATATATAAGCCTAATACCTATTAGGGTATTATAATATACCTCCCTAGGTATAACTAACTATCTAAGGTGTTATATACCTAATAACTACTAGATATAAAAGAAATTATTACTGAAGAAGTAAATAAGAGTATATAAGGTACTCTTTAATACCTATTTATAAGGAGTAACTAAGATATAAAGGAAATACTATATAAGCCCTTATTAAAGGGAATTACTGCTATATTTAACCTCTTTTTTATACTCCTAACTATACAAATTATAAAGTAAAATAATAGCCTCTAATTAATTAAGAAATAATTAACCTAATTGTCTTCTTACTTTATTATTATAAAGCTTTTAGCTATATATAAGTTAGGTTTCTTTTTCTTTTTTTATATTTATTAATAATAATAACTATATATACTACTTTAATCCCTTCCTTTACTTAATAATTATACTTTATTATAATTTATTATACTTAGATATAAAGGTTATACCTAACCCTAACCCTATAAAATAATACCTTATAGGTCTAGAGATAGACCTAGAAAGAATAACACTAGTTTAGTCGAGCCGTTACGACCTGACCTAAGTCTAGGGTACCTAGTTATATATAGAAATAACTAACTAACTGCTGTGTTAGCAAGAGTTATTAAATATAGCGGAATTACATATAAATTAACTGGCGAATATATAGTTGCCCTACGGCGAATTGTTAGGGAATAGGCGGTGAATTAGCCCCACTCTAAGGGGTTAATTTACTAATTAAGTAGCCAGGATTAGTATAGGATTTCCTAAGTAAGATATAGGGGAGTTTCCTTACTTCTATAGGGTTTTTCCCTAGTTATATATAATATATAATAGAATTAATTAACTATTATAATCCCTACTATTTAATAATTAATAGTCTAATACGTATATTTATAATGACTAACGTGCCTATCTCCTAAGTAATATTATTATAATAATAGCTAAGAATAATAATAATAAGGTAACTATTTTATAATTATATAGTAACTAGTTTATATAGCTTAACGCTATCTAAGTAAAAGCAAAGCCCTATAATCTCTAGGAATATATTAACCTAAAGATCTCTATAGTAGATTAAATAAGCCTAAAGATATACCTAAAAAAGCTAATAAAGCTGCTTATAATATATTACTTACGCACGCTAACCCTAACTAAGCTTACTACTTACTAAGACGCTACTATTACTATAGTAACCGCTAGGATATCCTAGTAAGCGCCTATATAGCTATATATAGTAAGAAATAAGGCTATTATATCTATACCTAATAGACTTATATATAAAACTAAATATATAGTAACACTAGATAATTTAAGCCTATATAACCTTATATACCTAAACAGCTAGATAAGCTACTATTATAAAGAAGTATATAAGTATACTACTTAGTAAAAGGACGTTAAAGACGTAGCTAATGTAGTAAAATCTACTATATCTATAGATCTTTAAGAAAAATACTATAAATCTACTATATCTATAGATCTTTAAGAAAAATACTATAAATCTACTAATTTACTAGCTAAATAGCTTAATAAGCTTAGTATAGTAGTAGAAATATCTGAAGAAGGATATATAAAGTACGCCTATAATAAGTATAGTAAGGTGTTAGTAAAAGCCTTGTAAAAGGCCTTAACTACTAAGAAAGATCTTACTATATAGCTTAATAAATAGAACGCAGCCTATAGTAAATTAGTATAGATTAATCTGCCTAACTATTAATAACTACTTATTTAGTTTAATAACCTTATTAACACGCTATAAAGTAGCTTACTTAGCGCCTAATTAGATTTATATATAGTAATAGGTAAAATAATAGGTAACTAGTATCTTAACTAGTAGTTACTTTATAAGATAGCACTAGAGAGGGTTAAAGCCCTTACTAATAACTTACTACACTATAGCTAAGTAGGCTATAGCGTATTTAGCCTAACTAGAATTAATAATAATAATAACCTAATTTACACTAAAGGCGTAGTAAAAGATAATAAATTTAATAATAAAAGATATTACTATTAATATAGTGTAAGTAAAAAAGTAAAGTGCTTTATATACTTTAGTATTTATTTACTATAACTTTACTATTTTATAAATAGATTATAAAAGTCTAATAATTAGTAGCTAAATATATAGCGTTAGTAATAAGTTAATAAGTATATTATAAGTAATTCTAACCTTACTAAATAAGTATAAAAAATTAAAGCTAAGTTATATTAACTATATAGTAAATACTATATAAAGGTAGTATCTTATACTACCTTATAGGACTATAAGCTAGGTAACTTAGCCTTACTTAACTTAGGCACTACTAACTATATATTTAACTATATACTATAGTTTATTATATTAGTAGTAGCCTTAATTAGTAACTATATCTAGGGTTAGGGTTACCTAAGTTATAATTAAAGAGTATAGTACTATAGAGGTAACTTTAAAGGGCGCTTATAGCTTACTAATAAAGCTTTATATATATAACGTAATATACTATAGTATATTTACTATATTACTTATTTTCTTTATAAGGCTACGCTAATAAGGTATATAGTAGGATATAACCCTAGGTAATAATTACCTAAGGTATATAGACTATAGCCTTATAGGTTATGTTAAGGAATAAGCTAACTAATAAGTACTTAAATATAATAAGTAATATAGTTATAGCTAAGAAAATAAAGGCGCTTTTACTACGTATTTTACTAATAAGTTACTACTAACCCTATAAGTAAGAAATAAATATATAATATTAATATAGTAATAACTACTCTATAGTAATATAATAATATAGTATAAACGTCTTAGTTACCTAGGTACTAAGGCTTTATAAAGGATTATAAATACTATATATAGAGTATATCTAACCTAAGTTAACACTATAATAATATAAGATTATAATTTATATAGCCTTAGTAAAATAAGGCAGTAGATCTACTACTAACTATATAAATCTATTCTAAATATAGCGCTAGGTAATTACCTAGCGCTAGACTTTTATAATCTTAAATAAGGCTATATAAGATACTACTTAGTAATAGGCCTTATATAGGATTTCTACCTATATAGCTACTACTAAGATACTATTAATTTAATAATAAGAGGCTTCTTTATAATACTAAAAAATAAACACTTAATTACGCTAAGGGTTATTAAGGCTAACTAAGAAATCCTACGCCTTAAGTGACTTATAGATACGCTTTTTAATTATAAGATCTCTATTAAGCGGTTAGTAATAAATACCTAGGCTTAAAATAGAGGCGTTAAGTAAATTACTATAGTAATTAAACTTAAGACGTAATATATATATATTAATATAAAATTACCTTAAGTCCTATAGCCTAAGTGTTATAGCCAGCTAGTTATAGTAAGTATGTTAGCAGAAGTTAAGGCTGTAAGTACTAAGTAAGCAGTGTCGTAGTTATAGATAGCTTCCCTAAAGCTATATCTATAAGTCGTAAGGTAGGTAAGGCTTTAGTAATTAATTATAGTCTTGTTAGAAAGGGTTCTTAGTAAAGATAGCTAAAAGCAATTATAAGATCTAATACTAAGTTAATTACTAAAGAAGCTATAGGAAGTCTGTTCTTAAGCCTAGCTTAAGTCTATACTATATATAAGTCTAACTATAAACATACCTTTTATTAGTAATTACTTTTATTTATTAGGTAATTACTTAGTAAATACTAGTAAGCGCTTACTTAGAGTAATTATAGTAATTACCTTATTACGTAATTACTATTTCTTATCTATACGTAACTTATCTATAGTTCTTCTATTCTATAAGAGTTACCTTATGTTCTTATACTTTTATATATATAGTGTGCTATAGCTATAATAAGCCTATAGGGTAGGCCTTAGTCTTAGTTATATATATTTAGGTTATAATATTAGGTCTTTTTTCTAAAGGTCTAGTCCTATAGACCTATAAGTAAGTTATTATAGCCTAGGTTAGGCTTATTAAGTAGGTTTTCTAAAAATACTAAGATATTTACTAGATCTTTAATATATTATTAGTTAAAGCTTGCTTTTAAAATTAAGAAGTAAGGATTTAAAATTATTATACCTTACTTATTTTATTACTTATTAAGGTAATAATATAAGATACTAAAAGGTAAATTAAGGTGTTATAAATATATATATTATAGTTATTCCTATAATATAACTACTAATACTATATATAATTATAAGTTTTTTTTTTCTTTTTCTAGCGTTTTTTATACTAATTATGCTTATAGTAGATTATCTTTTATTTAAGGCTAATAGGCTAGAATATAAAGAGGAGGCAGAAAAGCTTCTTTTTTAAAAATAAGTAGAGGCCCTACGCTACGCGTAGGCTAAAATAGATAAGTCCTTATTAAAGTTAGATTATCTTTAGAAAAAGAAAAAGATAGTGTTTAAGAAGGAAAAAGTAATTCTTAATCCTCTTAGGGTAGTTATTAATAAGGATAAATTATTTACTACATAGGAGGCGTAATCTTATAGTGCTTTTAGTGTAGTTAACTAGGACGCTATAATAGCTAGGAGTTCTAGTTTTAATTTTAACTTTAGTACTCCTAAAGTAATTCCTAGGAGTTCTAGGGGTTTATAATAGGTTTCTATATATTTTCCTTATATCTATAGTCTTTTTATTTAATAAGGAATTC